GATACATAGAATATTGATATTATTATTATTACTATTATTACTGTTGTTGTTATATAGTATTTTTATATACATATATATATTTATGGGACATAAATCCGCTGCAAGTACGTAATGGATAGGTATAATAATTCTGTACGATTATGTTGTTTGTGTGAATATTTTCCCGGTCTCAAATGTATTATAAGAACGTCGCTTGTTAAAACGGTTTCCATTGCGGGAAGAGATCCATTGCGCGCGCGCGCGTGTGTGCGTGTGTGTGTTGAAGAAGAGAGCTTAATATTCTCGTTGTAGTCGCCTTGCATTTTGTGTTTGGTGTTGAGTGTTTGAGTGAGTCGTGGACGAAAGATTTCGTCGTTGTTGTCTCTGTTAATCTTCGGATCGAGTGTTGTTTATTTAGGTAGGTACGTTAATCGTAGTCGACGACGGTCGTACACGTACTGCACACGTCGCGTTCACACGCATAAGATTTTAATGTGAATCGATAAAGTGATGTATACACAATAATAATATCATATTCCCGCACGTAATAATTGTAACAACGTCGTCCCCCGTCGTGTATCACGACGAGTATTGTTTTTTGTACGATTTATTGTTTTTTTTTTTCCTGGAAAAGAAAAAATTAATAAAATAATTTCATTTTTGATCAGCGTAGATAGTACCACGGGTGTTGCACATTTTGTCGTCGTAGTCGTCGTCGTCGTCGTCGTCGTCGTTATATTTGTAAATAATAGTATCTAGTGCGTGTTCTATGTGAACCGCAATGTAAACACATCTATTGTATAATATTATCATGATTAGAATACGTATAATATTATTATTAATTATAATACCACATTGCTACCGTGTTAAAGAAACGGGAGGGGGAGGGCATAGTGCCGGCGGCCGAGGAGGGTTTTTTTCATCTTTATTGTTTATATTTATATTTTTCTATTGAAAACTCACAAACTTTATCGATGTTAAATTGTTCGAAAAACTGTGGAAAATAAATCTAATTAATAGAGAAGCACACTCTACACACTTGTCACGTAATAAAAGTATTGTATTGTACAGATGCACACACACACACACACTTGTAATATAGTTGTCGTACCTTCGTACCTATATTATATAATATTATGATACCGAATAAATTCCATGCTCGATATAATAAATATTATTGTATCATATTTAGTACACGTATATTTTATAGTTATTATACTGCCTATTATTACGTGTTTAATATTATAACTTTGTGTAGATAGATATAATATATAGATAGGTGTATAATGTTATAAAATGAGGCCGCCGCCGCCGCCTCTCGTTCAAATATAATATTAACAATTATTATTATATTATGTGTTATTCGTGTTTTTTGTGTTTTGTATAAATTATAATGTTTAGAACCGTCGTCGTTGTCATCTACTACAATACTTTTTTTCTTTTTTTTCTCTAAGCGACTAACGTATTATTATGTATGTACCTAATATATACGACATACTATGATTTACACATTGAATATCGTAGGTTAGGTTAGGTAAAAAAGTGTAAAAAAGTGGCTACACAGCAAAAAGTTGTAACACATATTATATATTATTATGTATGTATTTTATTCGTAAGTCGTTCGACGACGGCGGTTATGGCACCGGCTGCGTATTCATGTATACGTGTAATATATGAATATATCATAAAAAATATTATTATAATACACGAATAGTTTTAATTTGTTTTCGTTAATATTATTATTATTATTATTATGAATAGGACATTTAACGTGATGTGGGGTAATTATATTGTGAAATTAATTCGATAAGCAGACGGAGTGAAAATGTGTAAAATAAAATTTTTAATATTTAAAGAGTATAATATTATATAATACATATAATTAAATTGGTATATATTACGATAGTTTTTTACGAAAATAAAAAACGATATATTGTTGTTTTTTTTATAATTATAATTATAATTTTTTTTTGCGTTCGCCCGCAATTTTATGAATTTTATTAAACTTTGTCATTTTATTATTAGATAAGAATATTATATATTATATAATTATATGATAAACAAACAAAATATTTTTATGTTGTATACCGCAACAGTCAAGTAAAACACGCGCACATAATAATATATCATTTTTATTGTTTATTTTTTAAGTTACGTTTATCGTTTGTTCTCGTATCTTAATATGTAATAGC